AAGAAGCCTCCCAGATCTCCAGATGCATTTGAGATATCAAAAAAGTACTCCAGAGTGTTGTTCAGCATGGGGGTGAGTAGAAAATGAAGGCTAATCATGTTTTGGGTGTACTATTCCTTTAATAGCTTGAGGAGTGATGGCAGTGTGGTTAGAGTAACGCATAACTGATTATAGAACTGTCAATAAAATCATACGCACTGGTCGGCTGCTTCGAGGACTAAGCATTCATCTTTAGTCGAATTAATTACTGCAACAGTCTTCATAGGTTTGCCTAAAGAGTCCTTCAGAATTTTCTTCTATTCATCAACGCCACTCTCTACATCACGACAGTATTAGCCTGCTGCATTTATCCTATTCCTTAGAGATCAATTGGCTGCATATGTGCAGTGCTGAGGCTAAAGGTCTTACTCATGGACCCCTTCAGTGGCACTTTTTGAGACTTGTATTCATAGCTTCTAAACTTGCATTCTGTAAGATACTTTAGAACATCTGTAAACACATGTAAGGATGAGTTGATAATTTGGAAAATGTATGACTTTTTTTTTGGAGAGGGGGTTTATTGGCAATAGCGGCTCGTTTTTATGGACAGTAGGCTGACCTCCAGGAAATGACCACAGGCTGGATTCGAAGCCAGGTTGCTCGCGTCAAGGACTAAGGCCTCCATACGTGGGTCATGTGCTCTTAAATTTATTGTATTGTATTGTATTTACAAATTCTGACACCAGTGAGCCTACTGTCCAAAAAATGAGCCGCTACTGCTGTAAAAACAAAACAAAACCCCACCTAATTTGAAGTAATCCTCGTCTATACCGAAATGGAAAAGCAAATAAATGAGGAACTGTAAGCCAAAATGACAAGCGTGATTCATAATTTAAAAGCTAACACCTTCTGGTTTCTGAAAATATATGAAAGTAGTGTGAGTACAACACAGCCTAAGCTGAATCAGTTCAAACAAGACTTAAAGTTGTTTTTCTTCTTCTTGTTCATAATAGGTCTTATTTGAACAGCAGCAATAAAGACATGCTTGAGAATAGACATGTCTCAATGTATTACATTTGTTCTACATCAGAACTTATCAGACCTGTAGCTACAACAGTTCCAGAGCTGTGGGGTTTTGAACTTTTGGTGTCACAAGCATCTCCAAATCTCTCTAAATTTGCCAGAAATGTTTTACTCTTTAAAACCTGCACTGAAACATCACTCTTTGGTGCGGATGTTCCCGACAAGAATTTTATTCTCGCTCTATAAACGGCCGCTCAAGGGTTAATTGTGCTTGAGCAGCTTTTTTTTGTGGTGTCAGAAGGTGGTATGATACAAGCAGGTTCTTTTAAAAGATCACTGAACAAACCGTCTTTGATCAACCCGCTTGTCTGGTAGACAATCGACACGCCTAAGCTGATGGGCGGCAGCTGAAAACTGTTTGATGTGAGAATGCTGGAGTGACTGATTCTCTGCTTTCAAAGCAGGAGGTTTTCCTGCTGTCATGTTGACTCATGAGCGGAATAAGATGCTCATCTCTGGCTTGTCAGTCGGGCTCCTGCGTTCCGGCACATGGTCTATGCCTTATTGACTGCAGGGTGGTGAGGAAAAGGGTTAATTGACTTGTTTCTATACCTGTTCTTTAATTACAGTGAGTCAGCATTGTTTAAAAAGCAGAAATGCAGATTGATTACAGCAAAAAAAAAATAACCACAACAGTGATCATCAATCTAATTTGGTGGATCAGAGAGGCAATGCTTGAAGCAAGCACAAGGTCAGTGTGCTAATGAGCTTGATGAAGGAAGCCGGTAAGAGGGAGATAAAGAGCAGGGAGGAAAGACCTAACACATCCTAATAAAGCCCAAGGTACCTGGGTAGATTATCCAGATAATGTCAATAGGTAGACAAACCAACATGTATGAGTATTACACACCTATTTACACATTTAATCACTAAAGAAACACATTGATTAACAGAGGCTGTAGCTTCCTGCAAACAAACAAGTTAATGAGTTAAAAACAGTAAAGGTGCAAACGAAAAGCTATGATTTTTTAAATCTAACACTTAGTATTCCATAATAATATTAATATCTCTAACATTATGCTCTCTCTGCTTTTTCTCATAGTAGCTTCATCTGGTCT